TGCCGGCAGGAATATTTACAAAATAGGAAAGGTGGTTTGTGTAAGGATCGGAGTAGGTACCTTTGTGACGCTTATAACGAGTATTGCAGTGAGGGCAGCATTGATTGCCTTCGCTCCTCTCATACTGATAACAAGGCTTACAAACTGGGAAACCACACTCCCTACACGCCACAAACACTTCACCATTCTCCACCACCCCTATCTCGTCTCTGCATATCCGGCACATCTTCTGACTCTCTCTCTCTACCTCTCGCCGCTGTATGTATATATATTTACGCACGCATGAGATAGGAGTTGAAGGCCACTTGCTACATATATATATATATATGATGGGAAAAAATTAAGCAATTGAAGGGCTTAATTGAAGAAGTTACCTCATCGTGGTCGGCAGCATGCAAATGAGAACCGCCGGTGAAGAGAGCAGCCATGGCGTAGTGTGACTAAGGAAGTGAAGAGGGAGAATGGGTTTTTAAGGAATTAATAAGATGTATGTTGGATGTGTGCATATATGTTGATGATGATGGCGGCACCAACTGATGGGGATGGTTGTTCAGAGGTCTTCCTAGCGTTAGTGTTAGCTTTGCTTTAGCTATATTTGATTGGAAGGGAAGCAACCACAGGCTGGTGCCATGCCTTCCTACAACAACCCTCAATTTTTACACAAGCTAAGTTGCTCCGTCTCATCATTATATAATACGGAGGATATATATATATATATATATATATATATAGGAAGGGGTTTAGGTGAGAACAACAATCGTTATATCGTGCACCAGGACGCACAATGCATTGTGTGCCTTGTCCTGCCCAAAACGACGTCGTTTTGTTAAGTTGTGTGGGGAGTTGACGCAACGGAGTTTATGTACATTCTATTATACAATTATATACATTCGAAACATACATGGAAATTTTTTTTAAGAAGTTAACAGACACGGGAAACGAAATTTCCCAAAAAAAAAAAGTACACCGTTTTGGGCCAGGGCGCACAATGATGTGCACCAGAGCGCACAATGCATTGTGCGCCCTGGCCAAAACAACGTCGTTTCCCGTTTCTGCCGTAACTTCTAAAAAAAAAATCCTTGTTTCAAATGTACAGAATTGTATAGTAGAATACATATAAACTCCTGGCATAATACACATAATCTAACATAATACATAATATACATAAACTCTTAACATAATATACATAAACTCTTAACATCTACTATACTAATAAGAGCCCAAGAGAGTTAGGCCTATAATGGGTAGAAAAAATGGCGGTCACAGATTTTAATCAAATGAATGGCTCAGATTGATTGAAAGATTGATCAGATTTAAATTTTACATTAAAATTTCCTAAAATACCCACACACCGTTACTAATTCCGTTAAAATTTTAAGAATTGCCGTTAGTTCACCGTTAACTTACTCATTGATTTCAATAGAAAAAGGTCTTAGGTTCGAATCTCATCCCAATCAAAATTGACATAATTAATACTCTATTTTACTCTTATTAAATTATATAAATAATAATTTAGTAGTTACAACAAAAAATAATACATATGCATTTCTTTAATTTATAATTATGTGTCCACAATGCCTTTATTCAAAAAAAAAAATTCATTATCAATAAATTAACTAAGAGAAATAATTTTATTAGTTATATTGTCTTTATTTTTCTTCAATATAAAATTTTTTTTATATTCAAATTTATTAATTGATTATATTCGCTACATTATCCTTACAATGTCTTTATTCAGTGAAAAAAAAAATTATTAATTATCAATAAATTAATTAAAAGAAATATTTTCATTAGTTATATTGTCTTTATTTTTTTCAAATGTAAAAATTTTTACATTCAAATTCATCAATTGATTATATTCACTATATTATCTATTATCTTTTTTCTGCACTATTTTTCTAATTAAATATCAAAGTTATAATACAAAATAATGTTATATATTTATTTACCAAGTATTTTATTAATACCATGAAAAAATTAAAAAAAATATATAATTAATAAAGCCAACCATATTAACTACTTGAGAGATTTTGTGACAAAGAGAGTATTCCAATCACACAATAAATTGAAGTGAGAACTACCTCGCAATGTCCTTGTTTGACAATCAGCAGTTAGGCGTTAGCGTTAGCGGATTATACTAGCGGATTTGACCAGCGAATTTATTTAATTATTAACATTGGGTAGAAAAAATGACCGTCAAATTATTAAATGAAATGAATGTTTCATATTGTTCAGGTTTTAACTTTTTTCTTTTAAGATTTTCTAATTTATCCTTAATTATATGATTATCCATTTAATTTTTCCGTTAATTCACCGTCAATCTAATTCTAATATTAAAGTCTAATATAGAATTATAACTACACCATTAATCTAATTCTAATATTAAAGTTTTAATAGAACTTAACCACAAATCCTAATGTCGGAATCTTCTCAAACAATATTAGTATATATTTAATATTTTATGCCCTAATTTTTATTTGTTCTCCCTTATGTCCCGTATTTGGTTTCAACCATACCTATACAATTATTTTATTGACAATTAAAATCAATCTTGACTATATTATCTTGCATTTGTAAACTTAGAATTACCTATTTAACCCGCACCGGCTTAGTTCAATGGTTTTGAACATCGGCGGCGGCAGTGCGGGAATTATGTCCAAAGTGGGCAGATTCCTTGTCCACAATGCTCTGTCGGGTCGGAGTGTGGGGGGCCCTTGGGGTTGGAGACTCAACCTTTGGGAGAAGAATTACCTATTTAAATACGCAAATTCAACCTTCAATTATCTATGCATGAACAATTTCAATATAATCCTGCCTTAATATACTTTAAAGTACTTATTTAAAAAAAAAAAACATTGGGCATTATTCCAATCGCGCAATGCGCGTAAAAAACTAGTAATATAAAGAAACTCTTAACATAATATAAATAAACTCTTAACAATTTTTTTTTAAAAAAATTGTAATGGAATTAAACGTACGGAACTGTGTCCGTCGCATAAACTGTCCACTCAACTTATAAAAACAACATTGTTTTGGGCCAGGGCGCAAATGCATTATGTGTCCTGGTGCACAATATAACGATTGGTGATTTGAATTGTTAATTAGACGCATAAATTTAAGGTGTTGAACTTTTAATCATATCCATTAATTACTTATTTCATATGACTACGATTTATCCATAGTTCTCAAAGGTGTTATCATGTGAGCATTAGTGCATTACTATATACATATATATATATATATATATATATATATATATATATATATATATATATATATATATATATATATATGGTGATCTTTACATGAGAACCTCTCAAACTTTAATGGCCCGTTTGGTTCACGGAATAGGCCGGGAATGGCATAGCATTCCCAGTAATAGGCCTATTCCGTTGTTTGGTAACCATTTCTATTACCAGGAATAATATTCCTGGTAATAGCCTATTACCTCAAATAAGGTAATAGCTATTACTAGGGCCCCCCCTGGTATTAGCCTATTACTGAACGCTCAGGAATAGATTTTAGAATCTATTTCCTTTTTTTACCCCTTTCTTTAACCTAATTTTATTATCCTATATATAAATTTATCATATTTCACCACCGTCGTCGTCGACGCCACCACCAACACCACCATCGCCGCCCCCACCACTGCCGCCGCCACCACCACCACTACCACCGCCACCACCACCACCGCCACCACCACCGCCGCTGCCGCCACCACCACCAGAACCACCACCCAGCAGCACCACCGCCACCACCATCACCACCACCGCCACAACCGTCGCCGCCCCCACCACCACTGCCACAACCGTCACCGTCACCACAACCACCGTCGCCCCCACCACTGCTACCGTCGCCCCCACCACTACCACCCCAGCACCACCGCCACCACCACCATCACCACCACCGTCACCACCACCACCGCACCACCGCCACCACCGCCACCATCACATATTTTTATAAGAGTATTTATGTCTTTTAAAACATATTTTAGTTCTATTCCTTAAATCAACCAAACACTGTAATATAATTCATAAAGTCTATTCCTTCCGCGAACCAAACAATAGAATATAATTCTTATTCTATTCCTTGCCTATTCCATTCCTTATGGAATAGCATTCCTATTACCTCAAAATTCATTCCGTGAACCAAACGTGCTGTAAGTCTAAGTAGTAACAATATGAATGCACTTAACAATACCGTAGAATTCATCATGTGATATATATAAATGCACTGAAATGGTTACCTTTGAGAGTTTATAATTTAATTTTTTTGTTTAGAAGTTCATTTTAGTGCACCTAACTACAATATAAACTACACTGAGTAGGCGAGCATAGTATAAAGTGCACGGCAAATTATATTATAGATCTGTGCACATTGCAATGTGGACCATAAATAAATGTTCATTTTTAAGGTATTATAGTCTTTTTGTTTTTACATACTAAAGTACAAAAAATAAATAAATAAATAAACATTCAATATATTAAAATTAAATACAAAATATTATGTAAGTGCCACAGTATAATGATTAAAAGTGCACCTAACTGATTCACTTTTTAAATTTTATGATTTAATATTTTTTAGTTTGATATAGGGTTTCACTTTTTAAAGTAACCTATAGTTTTAAAAGTTCCATTGCATTTTTTATTTTTCTCTAATTGCTTCAAATCTAAGACCAGATTTGAAAAGAAATACTCCGTAATAAAATACAAAACAAGGCCGGATGATATTCCCTTTGTTACATCAACAAGTATTTAATTTTCATTTTTATTTGTTTAATAACCTAAGTTTCCTAATTTTGTCAAAACTACTTCTATTACGTAAGTTCTATTACATTTACTTCCAAATCTCTCCCTTAAATTTACTCTCTGATATAGTGAGCACTGATAGACTACTTTTTTCATATGGGCCCCTATAAATATGTCTACATCAAAATTTTTAAGTGTGAGAATAAAAATTGGAAGTAGAGAATGGGAGTACATGTATTCTCCGTCTCGAAATTGAGTCACAAATAAGCAAGCAATTTGTCATGCACACAGCTATATAAACTGCCAGTGATTTCTACAACAGACTAAAGGAGCCATTAACATCATATTACATTACATATCCAACCAACAAAAATGATAGTACCTCTTCACCAGCAATGAAAGCTTCATTACTTTTCCATTCTTCAAATATTTTGGAGTGCTGTCATCATCATTTTCTAACTTATAATAATCTATGACTCTGACTACAAATTAAAGCTGCCAATAATTTCACCTACAAAACACACCCTGCCTATATGGATGGCCAAACAACAAATTTACTTTTTCTTCTCCTTGAGCATAATTTGGTTGCCAACCTTCCAAAAGGACAGGATATGCCATTTGCTCATAAAACACCAATTACGGTTTTACTCATCCACTTTGGCACGTTTTATTGCCCGAGAATTAGACGATCCGTCCAGCCACATTTTTTCTGGAATTTCGGTAACTTCTTCCCCACATTCCACTTGCTTCTCACACAGAACTTGAGAGTCATCCGACAATGTCACTACGTTAACTACATCATCCGTTTTTGGGTGGTCACTCTGTGGCACTCGTGGATCACTTTCGTTGGGGTTCTCTGCTGTGGATGGCAATCCCTTGAGCAAACCTATACCTGGCATTGACTTGCACTGCCTCTCAAACATCATCTGGAGATGTCGTCCTTGCTCTTCTATTCTCAGCTGCAAATTTCGTTGGATCTTCAAAAGAACGTCAAGATCAAGTGTTAACATGAATTTCAACCAGAGCCAACATGATGAACCTCATTTCTACAGTGCAGCAGTTCCCAAACAAAGAAAAGGGAAAATGACTGGGGTAACCCCAGCCAAGATGGCTAAGGATACAAACTTATAACCACAAGGTCACAAATTCGAATCACAACCTTATTAGTTTGAGCCGGTCAGCTATGGGCAACCTAGGCTAGTTTACCTCCTTGTGGTCCTTTGCCGGTTAGGGTCACAAGGCGGGGTTTACCCAATGCACACCCTCGGGGTAGTGACTGTAGGTTTCCCTCATCACACACACACACCCCCTCCCCCCCAAAAAAAAGGTTGATTCAAGACTTAAGACTGATGACTGCCCTTGATTGAAACCATAATAGTATAATACATTTTAAAAGCAAGAATTCATACCTCAAGCTGGTCATGGAGTCGCTTTTGAACTTCCATCTGCAGTCGCAATGCTTCAGTGATCTTAATTCCCCTGTATGAAACCGTATATATGTATATTAATCAGCAAAGTGTATACACTCTATGCAAAAGCTTCAAGAAAAACACAGCCAACAATCTAGTGTCTCAACTCTCAACCCTAACTTAAGCAAACTGATGGGGCAATGGATCTACATAGCCCCTCAAATTGGACTCAGCTTGCATTTCCAAAATGCCAGCAATCCCATAATTTTATACTCACTACCAGGGAAATTCACACACTGGATGAGAAAGGACCATGAGCAATTTTCTAGTCATCATTTAAATTATCACATTATATTATTTATTCTTTGATAACTACTGAACAAAAAAAAAAAAAAAAAAAAACCCTTCATGAACAGATTCATCAGCTTACGTTTTTAAGTCCAGAGATGGCAAATCATCAACAGAAGTCTGCTTCTTCTCTGAGGATCCTGCAATAGAAATTGGAGAAGGGCATCATAAGCAAACAAATCAACCACCAGCAATTTAAGCAGGCCTCTGGAAATGAAAGCACTTTTAGGATTAAGGATAGTAAATTGCAGAAAAAACTGCAGGCAAAAACTAAGTAGCATGAAATTGAGAGGCTACTGATCATATGCCTAGCATGCATGAATACTCAACCCTCTCTGACAGAACATCAGTTATATGAAACTTGAGGATTCAAAAATAGGATAACAAACACGATAAACACAAAAAAAATCTAAATACAAAACAACAAGAAGACAATAGCAGACCTTCTGCTGAATCTGGTTTGTACCGGGCAGTTCGATATTTCTGTACATTCCACAATTAAATTGATAAAAGGCAACAAGAGGTCCATCTAGCAAGGAGCTATTATCTGGATAAGAAAGCAGTACACACCTGCAGGTGGCTTTTAACTTGGTAAATAGTTAAACCTTCAACTTTCATTAGCCTTAGGACACCCTTGGGAGTGGCTCCTGCGGTTCAAAGTAAAGACATTTAATTATAACAGTAGTCTAATATATCTGACCCCAACACCTTAACAAGTTCATTAAGGAGAGAAATTCACTTTCACTTCCACCAAGCTTGTTGACAGCCTCCACAAATGCTTCATGAAGTTCAGGTGTCCAGCGCATGCGTTGTTTGGTTGTAGCACCACTTATGGTGGATGAAGCAGAACCAACTATTAATGCATCTCCAGATAAAGCTGTAGGATGATGTGATGCCTGATGCTGCTGATTTTGGACATTTGAAAATTGATTGGGTGCCTGATATTGCATCTGTAACCACAGAATGGGGAAAACATTAAAATGGGTGCAATAAAATAAAGGATTAGAAAAAAATCATCCTGCCAAAGCAAGGTGCGCAACCACTGAAGCACATGGCATACCACCAATAAAGAGTAGACTGTTTCTGCAAGACGGATATTTCTATAGGAACACTATCTCTGACTAAATAAAAGCAAAAATAATAAAGAAAGTTATATCAGAAAAAGCATTAAAGTAATGAAATGGAATCCACCTTTGCCCCTGGATCTGTGGGACATGTATCTGCAACAATATTGTTCCAATCATGAGTAAAAGCATCATCATCAGTGATTAGTTGCTCAGCCCATTCCTGCCAATCACTGTGTTTACTAAGATCCTCAGATGTAAATACACAATCACCATTGTTACTGTAATCCAGCTGACTGTTCTGCACGGGGGCATTTATTGGATAATCAAGAAAATCAGAAAATGAATCTATACACCAGGAGTTGTTATTTTCTTGGGCATAATGGCTTGACGCTGCTGCTTGAAGAATGCAAGAATGAGTTGTTGACTGAGAAAGAAAAGAGGGTTGCTTTGGGTGCTTTTCATGGGGTGGAACATAAGAAGATTTAAGATCACTAGAAAATCCGGATGATCCAGACGATGAAGAAAGCAGATGACCAACAACTCCACTATCTGAAGAAATTGGACATAGAACAGCTGGAGGATGTTGGATAATATCCCTCCCCAAGGAAACCTGCTGTGACTCTGGAAACTTGGGGTATAAATCTTTGAGATTTGTAGGAAGAACATGTAAAGGAGAGGAAAGAGCCCCAAATGCATCACAATTACTGAGTTGCCCAGCACCTGTGCTTTGGACAGATAGAGCAGGGCGTGCCTCCATTTCTTCTTTCTATATAGATAGCGAAATCACCTAAACTAGATTTTCCTCAACTTCAATAACCTAAGCTGAATCATGAATCCTGCAAAACAAGGGGGCATAATATTTGTAACTGCACGGGGCAAAAACCTCAAAAGAACTTTAGGTATGGGGGAAAAGATTCTCAAATAATTAGAACTATCAACTATGTATACATAAGTGGTAAAAGTAGAGAATAACAACTATCCATGAAATAAAACAAGGCATATTAGCTAAAATTAATGAGAAGTGAAACTCATCTAAATCTTGTGCATGCATGAAGTATGATTGACAATGGAAATTGGTCCATGATAAGACATAGTAATTGCTGCCTTGCTCAGTTGCTCATATTTGCTGATTTATTTCCCTCCCAAATATGAAAAATTACACCTTAAAACATTAAGATATATATATATATATATATATATATATATATATATTAAATTTTAAGAAAGAAAAGAGTAGAAAATCTGCAGTTTCAAACCCCCCCCCCAAAAAAAAAAAAAAAAAAAAAAAAAATCTTCTTCAGTCACTGGGTCAATAGAAAGCTGCGACAAAAGTCAATTTCAGCAACAGTTTATCCATATAAAATGCTTAACAAAGCTCCATCCATAATCCATAATCCAAAATCCAGTCTAATGACAACATATGAGTGCTCAGAAAATCAAGATGATGGAAAGAAGAACCTATAGTCCAAAGACCTCAATATTTCTTAAAACCATGATTTCTTCAAAAAAAAAAACACGCACACACACACACACAAGACACCATACAAACGTAACAAAGAGCAATTAATTTGGGAGCTGAATAATAGAAGGAAAAGATTTTCTTCTTAATGAAAGTAAGAAAAAGGGTGGTAACTATATGCAAGGCCGATTAAGCCATTAATGGATAAAGACAAGTTCATAAGTTCACACAACTCAAAATTCAATAAATGATGAGACTATTAGTACAAATATAAGCGGAACGAGAAATTATTACCTCCAAAGCTGAGAAAACCTAGAAATTCAGAATCAAACAGCTCCATACATGGAAATCCCAGGAACATATACCGTAAACGGACGACGAATATGTATACGCACGTGGGGATTCCGTGGGTTCCATTCCCAGGAGTACCAGAGAGAAGCACCTATCGCTCTAGCGTTCATGCGGTCACAACTGTTATACTTATACACAGGAACTCCATAAATTTACGAATCAAATTTTACTTTCTCCACCCAAAAATTTTACGGAGTATTACTTTTGATCATTTTATGTCATAGAGTTTGCCCATTAAAATAAAAAAGGAAAAAAAAGGTAAAATATAGTCTTCAATTTTATGTAAGAAATCAATTTTACTCTTAAATTTTAAAAATTACAATTAAACACGTTAATATTTTTAATTTAATATATCAAAATTCAGTGAAGCTCCAACAAAATTCCAACAAAGACATGACCAAACTGGTCTCATTTGATTATTAGTTAATTACTATATATGTATAATTGTGTTGAAATGAGAGAATGTGAACATGATATGAATTGATCTTTTTTTTATTTTTTAAGTGTGAACTCACATGTAATCATTAGTCAAATTTGTCTTTTTTGTTCATTTTTTCTATTTTTTAAGTGTGAACTCATGTGTAGATCATTGGTCAAATTTATTTTTTATTTTCTTGGATCATCACCATTGTGATTTGGAGTCACGATTTCTGATTATCGTGACCAATATTATTTTTTCTCGTTCTTTTTGAGTATAATATTGTTTATATTTAGATGTATGTTTAAGGTACATATGTTTGGGTAATACAGTTGTGCAACAGCAGTTTTGTAAGTTGTGCATTAATGCACTTAATGCGGTGCATTGTAAGATATTAGAATGTCTATCGTATAATTTTTTTAGTACAAAAATGTACAAAATTCTGTATAAAAATGAACAAATTCTAATAAGACTGATGTACTCATATAATTCTGTATAAGAATGAACAAATTCTAATAAGACTAATTTACTCAAACCATATATTTTTAAATTTTTTAATAAGGAATTTATTTCCTTAATGCTTGCAATTTGTTCTTTAATCTCAACCATCCATCATTCTAATTTAATGATTTAAATTAATCCTGCTCATTTTTCATGTTCTGCTCATTTTTCAAAAAATAAAGAGTTAATACCCAAAATGGTCCTTCGACTATGCCATAATTACCAATTTGATCTTCAACTACTATTCTTACCCAATTAAGTCCTCAACTATGTAACTTTTACTCAATTAAATCCCCAACTATACAATTCTTACCCAATTTAGTCCTAAACTATACAATTCTTACCCAATTTAGTCCTCTGTATTAATTTGACTGTTTGTTGACTGTCAAAAATGGAGATAAAATTATAATTTTACAAGATTTCTCCTTCCTCACCATTTAGCAGCACCAAACCATACAACAATACACTCCGATCAGATTTCGATCGTCAAAAAATCGTTGAAAATCAAATTCATGGACTATCCGATGCATAACCACTACTTTGATACTGACAGGTTTAGAATCCAACCAGAGCTTATTGCTACATGGTTTGGCACTGCTAAATGAGGAGGAAGGAGAAAACTTGTAAAATTACAACTTTATTTCCACTTTTGACAATCAACAAACAGTCAAATTGACAAAAGACTAAATTGGGTAAAAATTGTATAGTTGAAGACTTAATTGAGTAAGAATGATAATCGAGGACCAAATTGGTAATTACGACATAGTCGAGGGACTATTTTGGATATTAACTCAAAAGTAAATCAAACAAACACAACAAAATATTTTCTGAAATGCAACCAAACACAAAAAAATGAATGCATTTTCTAAAAAATGCCTATTTTCCAAAAAACATTTTCAAAAGTCATTTTCCTGGTTTTAATTTTCTGCTTACATTTCTGGCTCTTCCTCATGTACATAAATACATGCCAATTCCACCTCCTTCCTGTTTCAAAAAAAAAATAAATAAATAAATCCACCCCCACCCTTACAACTACTCACCTTCACCTAACCAGTTCTTTTACACTGGCAAAATAACACTGTATAAAGAATTCTCATAACAATAGAGAACTGAAAATCAGAAATGCATTTTGCAGTACTAAACACCAGATTGATAAAATGGAGTTCCAAGTACTAGCTAATTTTTATAGTATAACTCAAGCCATCAGCAATAACACAATTTGGCACAGCCCAAAGGTGTGAATTCTGCTATTCTTGCAGATTTGAAGGATCATTTTGTAAAATTAAAAACTCTAAATCACAAATATAACCTCAGTTAACAAAATTCTGACAGCAAATAGTAATGATGTTCATGCACTAACTTTAAATTTCCAAAACTTGGAACACACCAAACCAAAAACTACAGATCTTAAACAATAGCATTGGCAGCACTGGCAATCCTAGGCCAAAGATCAGCACATTCTTTTCCAATAGGACCAGTTATAGCAGATCCTGTAATAACACAATAAAGGGATGAAAGGAAATAAATCAGAAACTAATAATGAACCCATCAATTATATTACTGGAATTTAAATTTAAAAAAAAAAACAATTATCTTGGAAGTCTCCATTTTGTTCCCTTGCTTACTGTAAACTCCTGACCCATCATATATGAGTATATGACATAACAAGCACTGATTACACCTCCCTTAAAAGACCCGACATTTTTCAAAAGAAGCTAAAATTTACCTTTCATTTCACCCTTGGGATTCACAATCACACCAGCATTATCTGCATGGATAAAATTGATTGATCATAACCAATTCTTTAATTCAAAAAGCAGAAAAGTGTTATCAATGGATTACACCACTCAGCCAAGTAGCCAACACACTGGTATATGTTACAATGCATCCAAAAAAACAAGATAGTATTTTTGAGGAGTACTAATAGCAAGAAATTTTTTGAAGTATTGTACAAATTAGAAATCTTATGCAGTTAAAAGACGGACAATTCTCCAACAGTCCAACCACTACTACCCTGTCCACCATCCAGGGAGATCAACAACAATTAAATTTACAAACTGCTCCATTTCCTTAATCAAGTCAAATCTAAATACATAATGATACCATATTAGATGTAAATGAATGAAGTACTTAACAGCATGAATGAGAAATACATAATGATACCATAACAATAATGACATAACTCTAATTACTAATTAAATTCAGCCCAAAATACCATCCACCAAGTTATAAACTAAGAAAAGTTCATAGAACAACCTTCCCGATAAACGACAGATGGACATCACGGTAAAATACTACTCCCTCTTGCCCATTTTATCTGGTCTGTTGTCAAACATACTCTTTCTTTTGTGCTTATTTTCTTTAGTATTTTTAAATTTGATTTTTTTTCGTGTTTAATAGCATGTATAAATTTTATATACTAATACTAAACTTAATATTATGAAAATTGAATTAAAAATAACTTAAGTCAAGCCTAAGGAGGACGGAGGGAGTACACACTTATTGCAATTCAGTAGCAGTAAAGATTGCTTAAGAAAGAATAAACAACTGAAGGAGAAGAACTGAAGAGAGAATTATACCCTCAAAATACATGAAGACGCCATCCTTTCGGCGCCACGGCTTGCGCTGGCGGACAATGACGGCGGGCATGACCTTCTTCCTGAGATCGGGCTTACCCTTCTTCACGGTGGCCATGACCATGTCGCCAACGCAAGCAGAAGGCAACCTATTGAGGCGCCCCTTGATGCCTTTTACCGAAATGATGTAGAGGTTCTTCGCTCCAGTATTGTCGGCGCAGTTCACCGTGGCGGCAACCGGCAGACCCAGCGACATCCGGAACTTGTTCCCGGCGGAACCTCCGCGTCCTGAACTTGCATTTTCAAAGCGCAAAGAGCATTAATCATTAAGAACACGAGAACTTGTAGAAAAACGATTTGAAATAAAGATGAAATGTGAAATAAGGAGTGCCTACCTCGCTTCGACATGGTTGATCCGCTCTCTCTCCCAGAAACAGGAGAGCTTCAATGGGGGCGCTGGAGTTTATATCAGTCCAGTGGCTAGGGTTTTGTGGGAATTTTTCTAAGAAATTAATAATGATTGATGGGTTGGGCTTAAGCCTACTGCACTCTAAAGTCTTCAATGTGGGCCTGAAGCCAACCCAATTGCCTCATCGTCTGATTTGTAAGGCTGTCCTTACCCCTGCCAATATCATATTGACAAGATGAGTTGGACAATGCCATGTATGCTTTTTATTTTATTTTTTTTTAAATAGTGAGGTGGGTTGCAAGTTTGCACACCGTTTTTGTACTTTTTTCTTTTAGTTTTTTTTTTTAGTTTTTTATTTAGTTTATTTAATTTTGTTTTCTTTCTTTTATTTTATTTGTATTTTGTTTTGTATTTTGAGTTATTAATTTTTTTATATTTAATATGTAATATTTTTTTAAAATTACGTGTCTAAAATTTATGTTGATAAAGATATATTTTTTTTGTAAGATTGATATACATACATTCATTACTATACATAAATTAATTCATTAATACATACATTTAGTTTTTCCATTAATACATACGTAATTAATTATTTTCACATTTGTTATATTTAATATTTAAATATAAGTTATATATTGATATAAATAAATAATGTTGAAGACAAAATAATATTTATTAAGAAAAAAATATTAATTTTTTAAAGTGATGTGAAATTGGGGCCCACTTTTAGAGGTTGATTGGATTTGCAGGGATGTAGTGTGAATAGTAGATAATTTGCAAATGGGATGATGTGGAAGTGGGACTCATTTTTGAGAGTGGGAGATGTTTGCAGGGGTAAGGACAGCCTAAACTACACATACACGGTTTATTAACTGTCTGAATCACGGTTTAAAACGACGTCATTTTGATGTTTAAAAAAAATTTGCTCCACATGTGTGTTAGAATAATGAAATTTCTGGAGTAAAATAATGTATTTTATGAGTTAGAATAATGTACTTTATGTGTTTTTGGATCATGATTCACACAGTTGTGTGGACCACAATCCACGCAATCATGATTGAACCCAACCAATATGGTAAGAGTCCAAATCACAAGGTCACAAGTTTGAATGCTTGTCCCCTTAGTTTGAGCAAGTCAGCTACGAATAATCTAGATTGGTTTACTTCATTGGACATGATTTATTTAGTGCACACCTTTAAGGCTATCTCCAACGTAGCGTGAAACAACAAATCAGCAACACCATTCCACTATCGCACTATTTATCTAGCGGCAAATCATCAAAAAATTTGTCGCTAGTGAACATTATTGCGCCGTATATGACGCGACACTGTTTACTCACGACAAAATAAACGAGGGGGAGAAAGATTACAGTTTTGTCCTTATTTTATAATTCCAAATGTATCTTGTATTTGTTTTATATACCCTCAATGTATGTTGGATACGCCCGTTATAGGTTTAATGTCTCTTGCCAAGCCTCTTTGTTGGTTTTATTGTCAGAAAGTAATAATCGAACCATTACAAATTTGGTTTATGAATCTTTCCTTGACTTATTCTCTATTCAGGAAAGGATTACCTTCCTAAAATACATCCACCTCGACTGAGTAAGCCTATTATCGATACATCACTCCTCATTAAACTTCTTTGTTAAGTCATCGATAAATTATACTATAGGCCATGATCCACATTATAATATAAATCATGGATAAATATTCATTTTAGCATACTAAACGTTCACTTTTAATTTGATAAAAATTTACTTTTAGATAATATCAAATAATGTACATTTAATATACCAAAACAAAAATTAAACATTTAATATATTAAAAATAAAACATATATAATATACTAAAACCATGGTCCATAAATAATAATTGTAGGTTATCTTGTTGAGCCTCATCACTAGATTTCCAAGTATGGGTGCGACACACATATCCCCAATAGATGACATTTTTTTATAAATAAAATAAACATTATTTATAAAAATATGACCAATACTTTAAGATTTTTCTTGCATTATTTATCAACAAAAAAAAAAAAAAAAAAAAAAAAAAAAAAAACAACAAGAAGCACGTATAACGGTAGAAGGAAGGGTTGCCAAAGGTTTGAAGATAGGAATTAGGAACCCAAATCAAATGGCAATGGGCGTTGGTCAATGGGCACAGAGCCGGAACGCCACTGTACTGTACTTGAAGAATACTACGTTAAATTTTTGGTGATTTTCCTTCCGTTATCAGGAACTAGATAGGAAAAGGAATCAAGATTCTATTATAGACTAAGCAGTGGAGAAGAAGAAGAATTAGAAGATGATGATGAAGCAAGGCCTTCTGCCATGGAATTCCTGCCCTCCCAAAACCCACACTCTTAAACCCATTTTCTTGGCAACTCTCCAGCCATTCAAGCACAACAGACAACTCGGACGCCAGATACGACTACTTGTTGAGGAGACCCTTATCAACAAAACCCCCAATAAGTCTTCTCAATGGCTGCCCATTCATTTCAAGGTACGGAGTTTCGAGTTCATAACGATTTGGGGTAGTTCATGGTTCTCTTGCAAAATTGCTTCTGCCCCCTTTTCTTTGGTTTGTTTTGTAGCTAAGTGCGAGTTGAGATTTGAATTAGACATTGCGGTGCTGAGTATGTGGTTGGTTCAATTTTGATTCATCGTTGGTTATATTCAGCTTAGGTTCAGCCAGTAGTTTTGGGTTAGCCCCGTGAAGGGTCAAGTCCAGCAATTAGTTACTAGGAATTGTTAGGTGAAGGCGGGTGAAAGGCCAAGTCGACGTATTTTTAGTATTGGAATTATGAATTTCTAGAATATAAACTGTGTTTTTAAGTCAAAACACAGGAAATTTGTGAATACAATACAGGGTCATCAAATTATAATCTATTAATATTGTGTGAGTGCTGCATTTGAAAGGAACTTGTGGATACAAAACAAGGTAATCAATTACATATATGTTAATATCGTGTGTTCGTAATATACAAATTTTGAAATTTTAAAAGGTAAGTTGTGAACATTTGGACCCAGGTGGACCCGGGTCCACAGAATAATTTGCCAACACCTGCTTCTTGAAAATATGGTGGCGGTGAATAAGTAAATAAAGTTGCGCCTTCACTGTGAGCTATAGCTTTTGGTGGTAGTGATAAGTATTTGATCTAACAAGTGGTACCAGAGCCAGGTTAAGACTGGCACGATGAACCTTTACTTTGTGATGGCGTTCACGCATGCAGGCAGCTGAAATACAAGTCCCAAGTCCCATGCATTTATTAGTAGCTTTTATTTATATCAAGTATTTATTTTTCATGTGGCTCTAGATGTCTTTTCCATTCTCAAAACATTGCATTTATATTTCTGTTGTGGATTCTCATAGGGAGTTGCCTATATATTCATATATTCTGTAATCCTGGAGATATTGAAGAAGAATATTATTCCCTTTGAGTTCTTATAATTTGTGTGATTGTTTCTTGAGCTTCCATCCTACGTCACTTTGCATCTTAGCTGTTCTACCAAATGAGAACAAAGCAAAAGATGATGATAAACAGATTAGGGCCTTAGCGGATGCAACTTATACCGAAGCTGCTAAGTTCGTCTTTATAGTTGTTTCTATGTTTGTCTTGCCTTCGACTCATCCTTCTTCGTTTATATATTCTTCCTTTGAGTTGACTTCCAATATGATTCCCATGGCAGGCAATGGTGGCTTGTAGGATCCCCACAATGCCACTTATTATTGCTAATGCATTGCTGATATCTACCCCATTAGATGCCATAGCAGAAACATGTGAAGCAGATAAATCTGCATTCAATATGCCCTTGCTGCTGTTTGTTGCCCTTATTGGGGCCACTGTTGGAGGTATGTACTTCATCTTTGTGTACATACTGGCTTCCAGGTCTTCTCCGTGTACTTTTAAAAAAATATGGCCATAGCTATGAGTTCTCAACATGAGATTTAGATGAATTTGCCCGCACGGGCTTAGCTCACTGGTTCAGTAGCCAGTATTTGGGTCAGACTAAGGTTTGGAATTCGGTAGTAACATTGTGAGGACTAAGGATTATGTCCAAAGTGGGCAGATCCTTGTGCGCACCAACATTTGACCTTGTTTGCTAAGGCACTGAGCAATGTTGAAAAAATCGCTAGGCGCCCTCTAGGCACCTGGGACCGCCTAGGCGCGATTTTTGCAACACCGGCACTGAGTTACCATGATTTTCGTCATTTTCATAATTCCAAATGCTCTGTCGTGCTGGGGTATAGGGGGGCCCTTGGGGATGGGGATTCAACCTTTTGGGGCAAGAGATTTAGATGAATTTGTGCGTGGTATCTAGGAATTGTTAGGCTAATTAGCTTTATTCAAATAAAGATAGAAAATTATAAGTAGTTTCCTATGTGCCTATTTTATCTTGATTCTTTTTCTTTTGTTTTCTTTTCATCTTAACCATTCCCTCTAGTTTCCCCCCCTATTCCTCCAATTCATTAATGAGAAAGAACTTAAACTCTTTTCATTTAATATGTTCTTACACCTTGATGTTGACAACTCAAGAAATTCAAGCAATTGTATATCTGCAATTCACTCATTCGGATTTATAAAAGTTTCATTTGCTGCTTAGAAGTATGAAATGGTTTTGTGTTTGATTATATGTAATTGAGGGCTGCAGGACTACTTGCTCGACAGAGACGAGGGGAATTGAAGCGGCTGAATGATCAGTTGCGGCAGATAAACACTGCTTTGAGAAGGCAAGCTAATATTGAGTCTTATGCGCCAAGCTTAAGCTATGCTCCTGTTGGTGGAAGGATAGCAGAAAGCGAAGTAATTGTAGATCCTAGAAAGCAAGAATTGATTTCTCGGTTGAAAAATGGGAAGAACTTTCTGAGAAATCAAGCTCCCGAGAAGGCGTTTATAGAGTTTAAAACGGCACTTGAGCTTGCACAGAACCTAAAGGACCCAATAGAGGAAAAGAAGGCTGCTAGGGGATTAGGTAAGTCTTCGTCGTCTTCTTCTTCTTCTTCGGTTTGTTGTTTTGTTGATTTTCACAGTTTGATCAAGGATAGGATACCCCATGATGTGTTTCACTTTCAGGGGCATCATTGCAAAGGCAGAATAAGTACAGGGAAGCGATTAAATATCACTCTATGGTTCTGGAAATTTCAGCGAGAGAAGGAGAGGAATCTGGGAATACTGAAGCCTATGGAGCAATTGCTGATTGCTATACAGAGCTTGGAGATTTGGAGCGAGCTGCCAACTACTATGACCAATATATTGCAAGATTGGAGACAGATTGAAACCCCCCCTCCCCATCTCACTTTCTTCTCCAATTTTGCCCACAACAAACAATTTTAACTTCTTCAATGTCTGCTTCTATCTGTTGGATGGGGTGGGGGTGTTCCATTTCCCCGCCCTCCAGCCATATGAGATAGTTTTTCGACTGTCGCACGGGTTTAACTCACTGGTTCAGTAGACAGTATTTAAGAGAAGATATAGCTTTTCGGCTAAGCAGCATTATATTTATACCTTAATGCTTGGTTAAATGCTTTCTGGTTGTCTTTTGATTGATCATTCAGAAACTTGCCAGTCGGCCAGCTAGCCAGGATGTAGATCTCCAATGTTATGTTTTGTGACAATTTGAACCGTTTTTGGAATATTATAGCCCTATTAATATAGTTAGTTTGTCAGCAAATTTAAATTTATTTGATCACTATTAACTATTTGACTTAGTTAAACATTTAATATAAGTGTTTGATTAATTAACTTTTTGTAACAGCTTATTGTTCCAAAATATTAAAATTCAAAAAACTGTTTAAAGTAATTTTTTCAATTATTTTTTAAAAAAATCATTTTACATGTAATTAGTTATCAACAAACAGCCAAAAATCTTATGCTCAGATAGCACCCGAGTTGGACTTCCATATGGGAGGTTATGAGTTCGAGCCTCAGTGGAGGCGTTATTGGTTCTTTGTGCTTCAGTAGGTTGAGAAAGTAGCTATGAACAGATACTACATTGTAATAGAATAAGTAGCATTCAAAAAAAAAAATTATCAACTAATTAAACCCATTAACTTAATCAATTATCAGCTAATAATTATTTACCAAACATTCCCAATATATTTTTGGGAATAACTTGTAAACCTGATAGTAAACTGAATCTTATCATTAAAGCTGGGGCTGGGAGCAGAATTGAAATAATTGAACAACAGGGTGCATTAATAACAATGTACAGGGTCTGATCAATATCAAGAAACAAGAAGCAATTTAAATAAATAAACTAATTTAAAAAAAAAAATCCACAACAAAGATCCATTGATTTGAACTAAAGGTTCACCAAGCCACCAGCTTTCTAGGGCAGGGGTGATACAACATGCTCTGCTGAAATAATCATATCAGATGTATTCTCATCTCCTTGATCTGGACCCTGAACATACCACACCATGAAAGTTACTAAAGAATGGCAAACCACTCAGTCAAAACTGAAAAGTAGGTATAAGTTGTAACAACTGAATTCAATAAAACAGAATGGGATGAACATTATCCTTCTGTTCTGTTGCTACTTACTGCTTCTGCTTGAACGTTTGCCGTTTCTGCAGAGCCTGCTTCCGCATTGGCATTTAAATGCTTTGATTGGGTGTTCAACATCATCAAAATCAATTCCATAATCCTGAAAACACAACACTGTCTAATCAAAAGAAGATTAACCCAACTCTTAAGACTAATTTCGCATGCATGAGTTGCTCTAGGTGAACTTGAGTGTTGTAACATCTTATTCAGTCCAAAGAATCAATGCCCCCACCACCGGGGTTCGATCCAATTGTTATACCATGGACCAGGGTTCATATTGCATTGTGAACCCTGATACAAAAATTATGTACCTTCATTAACACATTCTGTACCTACCATTAACAGTTTCTGTATATGTAAGCAAATAACTTGATAATTGCTAACACATAATATAATAGCTACAGGTACAGAAACTATCAACTGCGTACAAATGTGTCAACTATAGATACAGAATCTGAAGGTTACATAATATGATTGCTACAGGTACTGAAACTATCAACTGCAAGTATAGAATGTGTCAACTATAGATACAGAATCCGAAGGTTATTTTTGGATCAGGGTCTACAATGCAAGGTAGACCCTGGTCCATGGTATAATTTGCCGATTCAATCCTATGACCACCCATTTGAAATGGTAACGGAGGTGTCATCACACTACATAGTAGTTGGCACATGCATCATATTTTATAATTCCAATGGGCTTCTTTCACAGCAATGCTTCTTTGTTTTGTAAAAACTTTACATGACCCAAACCCCTACATAGTAACTATCTTTATTGCTCCCTTCACCAAAATCCCTAAACAAGTTTACTCCAATGGGTGGTCAGGTCAACAATTTATGTTTCAACAGTATGCATCTAATACTCAAGGCTATAAACAAGTAAATATAGAATTTAAACACACTTCAACTCACCCAAGTCAGCTCTTCCATGGCTTTAACTTTTCTTGTAGTGAAGAAGGCAAGCTGTATGAAGGTAGCACACCCAGTATACAGTACAAAATAACCATTAGTGTAGAACAGTCAACACCAATGACACTAGAAATTAAATAAGTTTGAACCACAGAGGATAAGATTCCGTACGTGATAGTAGTGGTGATCCGGTGTCTCTATCTCAACAGGTATCTCAACTAAATTTGAATCAAAACATCTGGCAAAGAACCAAAACAATTCCAAATAGATGAAAATATATGTACACACAATCCAACACAGCATCAATAAATTAATGGTGTGACCAGAATGCAATCCCTTTTGTAGGAACTTTACCTGTGGTTTATAAACCTCGCAACATTGCCATAATAGGTAGCATCCAAACACAAAGCTTCTTCATCCTTTAACACGCCTTCAGCAGCCCAATCAGCATCAAGCAGCACAGGATACGAGTGTTCCTCGCTACTAGAGCCCCGTGAAACTCGTTCAAACAGTTCTGCATTGGTAAGAACTTCTCCAACATATTCACAAACAAATGCACCTCTTGGCAGGTCCTCTAGACTGCGTAGGCCCCATCCTTTCCCTCCAGGTGTCATAAACACCTGAAAATACATAAGAATTGTTATGAAATAGAAGACTGTATTATATTCTATACATCCTCACAGAGAATACACAACACAACTCTATATATACAAGCTAGAAGACACCAAACAAGGAAACAAGTTTCCAAAAGACTACCTACTCCAAACCCTAAATCTTTAGACTGCCTAATATATATATAGATACTATAACACTCTCCCTCAAGTTTGAGCATAGATATTAATCATGCCCAACTTGTTACATAAATAACTAACTCGGGTGCCGTTAAGGGCTTTTGTGAATAGGTCCCCTAATTGTTCTCCCGTCTTCACAAATCCTGTAGATATTAAACCTTGCTGTATCTTTTTACGGAAGAAGTGGTAGTCGATCTCTATGTGCTTGGTCCGTTCATGGAATACCGGGTTGGATGCAATATGAAGAGCAGCTTGATTATCACACCATAGTTTTGCAGGGATTGGAGCTTTGAAACCCGATTCATTCAGGAGGTTGTTTATCCACATCACTTCACATGCTGATTGTGCCACCACATTTTGCTTTTTGCTCTTCCACGAAACCAGATTACCTCCAAAGAAAACACAATAGCCGGTTGTTGATCTTCGATCCTCTTTTGATCCTGCCCAATCAGCATCAGTAGAACACTCAATTTTAGTGTGACCATGATTCTTATACAAAATTCCATGTCCAGGGGCTCCCTTCAAGTAACTCAAGATGTGCTCTACAGCTGCCCAGTGATCAACAGTTAGGGATGCCATGTACTGACTCACAACACTAACAGAGTATGCAATATCTGGACGAGTCACTGTCAAATAGTTCAGCTTTCCAACTAATCTCCTGTACCTCTCAGGATCTTTAAACAATTCCCCCCTCCTTTGACAATTGTGTGTTCGGTATCATGGGAGTATTGCATGGTTTAGCACCCAGTTTTCCTGTTTCAGAAAGCAAGTCAAGTACATATTTTCGTTGAGAAAGTAATATACTTGTTTTACTCCTTATAACTTCAATACCCAAGAAGTACTTCAGTGGCCCCAAATCTTTGGTTTGAAATTAACTATGAAGAAATGTCTTGAGAGATGAGATCCCTTTGGTGTCACTCCCTAACAATGTCATCCACGTAGACTACTAACCAAATAATGCCTGTTTTAGACCACTGTAAAACATGGAGTGATCTGATTTTCCTTTCACCATCCCAAAGCTCTCAACAGCTTGACTAAATTTCCCAAACCAGGCACGAGGGCTTTGTTTCAACCCATATAATAACCGACGAAGTCGGCATACTCTCCCTGACTCCCCCTGAGCAACAAACTCAGGATGTTGCTCCATGTACACTTCTTCGTGAAGATCCCCATGCAAAAAAGCATTCTTGATATCAAGCTGATGTAGAGGCCAATCATGAATGGCAACCATCGAAATGAGTAACTTGACAAAAGTAAGCTTAGCCACAGGAGAAAAAGTATCAAAATAATCAATTCCATAAGTTTGGGCATAGCCCTTAGCCACAAGACGAGCTTTCAGTCGAGCAACAGACCCATCAGAATTTACTTTGACAGTAAACACCCATTTACAACCAATAGTCCTCTTATCAGCAGGCAGATTAACCAATTCCCAAGTACCATTACGATCCAGAGCATTCATCTCTTCAATCATAGCATTTCGCCACCCAGGATGGGACAAAGCTTCTTTAACAGTTTTAGGAACAGAAATAGAATCAAGAGAAGCCATGAAAGAACAAGAGGCTGGTGACACACGACCATATGACACAAAGGAAGACATGGGATAAGTACAACTGCGTTTACCTTTTCGGAGAGCAATTGGAAGGTTATTGTCCGAGACTGGATCTAACGACGAAGAGGTGGCTTCAGGGAATTGTGCAGGCACCGAGTCAAGGGGAGTAACAGGAGGCGGATCTGGAACAGGGGCATTATGACGAGGTCTACAAGAATATACCTTTAAGACAGGAGGGATAGGAAGGGTAGGAACATAGGATGTGACCATATACATCAAAACGTCATTATCCTCCCCCTTACGGATAACATCTAGAGAGGAAGAGAAAAAAAGGAATGTCCTCATGAAAAGTCACATCAATGGACACAAGGTACCTACCAAGCTCAAGAGAATAACATTTGTACCCCTTTTGCACACGAGAATAACCAAGAAAGACACACTTAAAGACTTTGGATCTAACTTGGTGACAGTGGGACGAACATCCTGAACAAAACATACACAACCAAATATACGTGGGTCAATATGGAACAAAGACTTTGATGGATAGAGACAATGGAATGGCGTTTTCCCCTTCAAGACTATGGAGGGCATGCGATTGATTAAGAAACAGGCTGTGGAAACAACATCAGCCCAAAACTACTTGGGAACCCCATCTGAAATAGCAAGGCCCTTGCAGTCTCGAGTAGATGCCTATTTTTGCGCTCAACCACCCCATTTTGGGAAGGTGTGTCGACACAAGAGGATTGATGTAGCATACCCTTCTGAAGCATATAAGAGGCAAAGGGGAACGAAAAAATATTCCTTAGCATTATCACTGCGTAAGATTTTAACAGGCACTCCAAACTGGGTTTCAATTTCAGAACAAAACCCACAAAACAAACCAAACAATTCAGAACGACTCTTCATCAAATATAACCACGCCATACGAGAAAAATCATCAACGAATGTTACAAAATACTTGAACCCAGGTTTAGAGGTCACAAAACACGGTCCCCATACGTCAGAATGGACTAATTCAAAAGGAGAAGTTGCACGTTTGTGGACTCTAGGACTCAAATGCACGCGATGGTGCTTAGAAAACTCACATGACTCGCAAGGTAAAGAAGACAAACTCTGAAATTGAGGACACAATGTCTTTAACAACGGAAGGGAAGGATGACCCAAACGACAATGAGCATCAAACGGGGTGACAACACTAGAACAAGCCACAGACTCCAGCCTCGTGGTGTCAAGAATGTAGAGACCCCCAGACATGTGTCCCTTACCAATCACCCTCTTTGTCGTAAAATCCTGAAACAGACAATGGTCCGGAAAGAATGTAACACGACAATTTAACGAACGAGTAAGTTGGCTGACCGAAATTAAATTAAACGAGAAGTTAGGCAGGCTCAAGACAGATGACAAGGGGAGCGAAGGGACAGGCAAAATGGTACCAGACCCAAGTACATGGGAGGTAGATCCATCTGTTAAGGTGACAGGAGGACTATGTGTATGGGGAGAAAATGTGGACAATAGACTAGAGTTACCTGTCATATGATCTATGGCTCCTGAGTCTATGATCCATTTGGAAGAGGACGAGAGAAGGCAAGAAGTTGTGTTACCTGAGTTAGCAATAGCATGTTTAAGAGAGGCTCGGTACCGAGAAAACTCAGCAAACTCATCAGCAGAGATTATGACCGACTTAGCAAACATATCAAATTGATATTCAGCCATACCAAAACAAAAAAGCAGATCACAAAGCACACAAAATAGGAACCTGAAGGTGTACGATACAACCTAACCGTAGAGCAAAAATCACGGAAGCCAAATGGTCCAAACTGAGTCCAGATTCGAGACCACAAGACTCAAGCGACCCTGGGAGTGTTGGCAGAAGAATTTTCCGATCGCCGGAGACAGCTCATGCGCCGGCGCGTGACGGAAGGGGCGGTGGCGGCAGCGTGTGAGGCCCACTCGCTGGGCAGAACAACGCCGGATTTCGGAACTGAGGTCACCGGACGCCTTACTGTAAAGGCTTAGATACCATGTTATGAAATAGAAGACTGTATTATATTCTATACATCCTCACAGAGAATACACAACACAACCCTAGATATACAAGCTAGAAAACACCAAACAAGGAAACAAGTTTCCAAAAGACTACCTACTCCAAACCCTAAATCTTTAGACTGCCTAATATATATATATATATATATATATATATATATATATATATATATATATATAGATACTATAACATGAAGCAAAATTAGATGCAACTTATGGAACAAACTAGACCACAATTCCAAAAGATGTATTAGGCACTTCACTGGAACCAACCATTCATGGGTAATGAAATATAAAGTGGTATAATGCAAGCATTAACAAAAGATGTGGAATTCCAGGGTTAACCCAAACGGCCATCTATCTGCAAATGCGTACCTGTAACTTTCGACTAATTCCTCGTTGTACTACACGATTGCCACACTGTATATTACATCCACACTTCCTCCAGCATTCTTTGATGAAATTCCTCACTAGATGACCTTTGCAACGTTCTATAACGTTGTCATTTTTAGATCTTTCAAGTGGGCACTCTGTGCAGTAGAACTGGCAGTGCTTTCCTGGATCACGATTCATAGAAATACACTCTTTCAGAAATTCTTCCTTGACAAGGCCTTCTTTGGTGTATGCAAACTCACCCCCAGTTTCATATGCACAAGCACAAGGTACGGACAATGACAAACAATCACCAGAACAAGTTGAACAACTATGATCATCCCCAATACGGGCCAGAGAAATATTTACATATGCATTCTGAAATACTGTATTTTGAGGTATGTAGTGGAAGGATGGGGGATGCTTGCTATTAACTTCATTCACTAATGAAATTGCGATCTTTTCTTGCCCCTTAGTAATGTCAATGCCCTCATTTAAAGAGCTTGTGTTATCATGAGATACTTGAAGTGACTCCACAACCTCTGGACTTTCAGAATTCATCTCTTCAAGAACACTTCGACCATTTTCAGCAACTTTGCAGTGGTTGTTCCCAGATGCATCTTCATCAGGTAGTGATCTGTCATCCACACCATTGCAAGGAGGAGAAAGTTGTTGTATCTGCAAAAGAACCAAACCAGCATCAACTTGAGCATTGATAAATTCATTTGCAGAATCAAGAGGCATGTCTCTAGAATCAAAAGCATTTTTCACAAGAGATACTTCCAACAGATTACTAGCTGTTGTCATGTTGTCTGTTTCTTGCATTAATGAGAAGAGTTGGCCCCCAAATCCCAAAAGCAATGACACATCTTTCATCAGTTTCAGTGCAGAGAAGTTTGGGGCCAGGGAATGACCACAGTCACTTATCCTCCACCCAATATAAGTACGTCTTCTAGACTAGGCAAATGAAAATCAGGTCTTCCAAGAGCAAAGTCACAATTTATTGAGATTTTCACTTCTCCAAAGGGAGATGAAGCAATTCCAAGGTTAGAATAAAATCCATCCTTTATCCTTACCAGCTGCTGATTGGTTTTCATTTCACTGGATGAAGTTGCAATACAGCAAGTTCCATCCATAGCTCCACTGGAATCTGCTGCTAAGTTTTCAGAAGCACTGTGATCTTTTACCAAACCACTTACACTTGGAACATCATCCTTGTATAATGACTCTGTTGAATAAATAATGATCACATTAGATTTTACCAAGAAATTATTATATCAAGTATCAACAGATCGTCAACAAAGGAAAATAAGCAAATGACACACTAAGCATAATAATTACCAGAGGGGATAACAGCAATGGGAACCTCTGAGTGTGGTGCATCATCAGTGAATGGCTCATCCTTAGGCTTTATAAAATCATGAGCAGTAAGAATTTTCTGCTGTGGGGTTAGCACAGGGCAAGCTTCAGTTTTTGGCTCTTGGTGTAAGACATGAGAAGAATGTCCAGGGGCCAATGTCTTATCTCTGGCAGGTTGAAGAGTTTGAGGTTTCCTTTGTCTATCTCTAAGCCGCATTGGATGAGAGCTAGGCTTTGGTCCAGCCTTAGCCTTCCTCAAGCCATTAGTCTGATTTCTGTCAGCACCAGCAGGCTGAGTTGGAAGAGATTTATCTGGCAACACCACAGGTTTTGGTAAAATGGGTTCCTTTCCTTTGCTTCTACTGTATGTCTGATATGAGGGAGAAGGGGTTTGAGCTGCCCTCCCTCCATGACTGAGCTGATGTGAGGCCACCATGCCTTGTAAGACACTCGGGCAACTTTCACCAGATACATCATTGCACTTCACTTTAGGCTTCTTGAATGATGCCTCAGCCAAGGTGGAGCTAGAGTTGTCACAGGAAAGTGAAGGTTGATCATCTTGATGTTTTAACCGCTGTCGCTTAAGTGGTTGTTCAGACTCCTTGCGTAAGGTTTCTTCCTCCAAAACTCCTTGCTACAAAAGTTTGGGTTGTCAGGAACAAAAGAAAAAAGAGGGGATAAACCAGAGAAAATTAAAACAATATATTGGGAAATCACCAAAAGGGTAACAAATTAGAAACAATCTCATTACTTCACTATTCTTAGACTCTTTATTCTGTGCAACCTGCATATGATATGGAGTGAAGTCAATATTTAGAGAATAAAGGTTGAGGAAAATATGGTCCACAATAGAAATACGAAACAGAGAATAAAAAAGAAAATGAAAGAAGTAATGAACCTCTGACTCCCTTTCAAAGATAGCATCTGCAAGGGCTCTATAATTCTCAGCTTCAATGTATGTCCAGTTTCTATCATATAATTTTAAAAGGTTATTCAACACTGGTTTCACCATAGCTTCTTTGACTCCAATATCGTTCATAGCTTTATAGGCTTTTCTGGTTCTTCGATTGCGTGGCATTGTTTACTCTGCAAACTTCTTCACGCAGCTTTAATATTCTTCAATAAAACTACAATTACCCTTTATCATAAGCAATCTGTATAATAAAAAAGTAATTGCAGAAGGAAACATAAAGCATTGGTTTTGAAATAGAGTGTACTTTGTTCACTTTGCATTTGTCTTAACGCCCTTCTACTTTGGAAGTTAGCTTCTTTTAGAGGTTGCACCATCCATTTTCATATTAATGACCCAAAAGGGAGCAATTTTGAAAGGAGAAATATAGGAGAGGATGACAGAAGGCAATATGTGAATGTGACTCTGCATTATATAAAACAGGGAGCATGGAGGATGTGACAGAATCTATCTAGTAACAGGGACATGGAACACCACCTACAAACACATATACATATACCTATGTAAACAGTTATGTTCATGTAATTTGATAAAAAGAGCAGGTGTATATTTTGGTGTTTGTGCACATCAGTTAGTTATCTCTCCGCACCCCCACACCCAAAAAACAAATGGTTATGGTGCTAGTCCTTCAACGTTTTGCAGCAAAAGCTATGGCCCCTAAAATAGTCCCCTAAATGTCATCTCTCACGCTTTTCAGCTATGAGCAAAAAACCTTCTCTACCATTACACACATATCAATGCTCTTTCATGGAAATAATATCAGAATCTAAGCAGTAATGCAGATCTAAATCATAGAAATTGGCACGAAATGGAGACAAGCACATTGAACCAGAATTAGATTATAAAGAGTTGGTCAATAAGGGACAAGCAATAATATTATAAAATGTGCTCTTAACAACACCTCTGGTAGTTCAGAAGCCTGATTGGATAAAAAAATCTCCTCTTCCTTACAGTCCAATACCTTGTGAGGTAGAAACTTTGATCCTTATCTGAGGTTGGCAGGTTGCCGAGGAAACACGAGAACAAAGGATGTTCAATTGACATAAGAAAATAGGAAACCCTAGATTCCTTTTATGAGAGAGTTCTGTAAATACCCCTCCGAAAAATCTCTTTAAGCTATTATCAAAATGAGTCAAATAGCACGTGTTATGAAGCGTCAAAGCTATAAAACACGTGTTAAGCTTCCATGAAACCACTACATGCCCCACAGGAGCTGAAGGTTAATTTGCCAACTTCCTGGGTTCTAATCTAGAAAATTCAAAATAAGATTCGCAGGTTGCCAAGGAAAAACGAGAGCAAAGGATGTTCTATTGGCATAAGAAAATAGGAAAACCTAGATTCCTTTTATGAGAGCATTCTGTAAATACCCTCCAAAAAATATCTTTAAGCTATTATCCAAATGAGTCAAATAGCACGTGTTATGAAGCGTCAAAGCTATAAAACACGTGTAAAGCTTCCATGAAACCATTATATGCCCCACAGGAGTTGAAGTTTAACTTGCCAACTTCCTGGGTTCTATTCTAGACAAACAAAAATAAGATTGACAGGTTGCCAAGGAAAAACGAGAACAAAGGATGTTCAATTGGCATAAGAAAATAGGAAAACATAGATTCCTTTTATGAAAGAATTCTGTAAATACCCCTCCAAAAAACCTCTTTAAGCTATTATCCAAATGAGTCAAATAGCACGTGTTATGAAGCGTCAAACCATAAAACATGTGTTAACTGTTAAGCTTCCATTAAACCACTATATGCCCCACAAGAGTTATTGTGAATCTTATTTTGATTTTTCTAGGATAGATCCCAGGAAGTTAGCAAATTAACCTTCAACTCCTGTTTGCTTAATACCATTCATTCCATTTTTTCTAAGTTTGTGTTTGATACAACTGCAATGTTGTCTCTAATCTCTTTCATTCCAAACAGTTTAAAATAGCATTCTCTTTTAGTTTTTGCGTATTTTATAAATTACCCTTTCAGCCCCAGAACGGCCAATATAACAATCTTACTAACTTGAATACATTGTGCACCAATGAAGCTAAGAAGAATTCCTGCCAAAGACCTTGAAGTCTAGTGACATACTCGTTAAGCCGGGAGGCCTAATCCCCAAGGTACTGTCACACAGGCCCCTTCCAACAACAATGAACTCTTTTCCACCATATTGGGAAACCCTAGTCTCTTCAATCTATCCCAAGGTACTATTTGGCTCTTACTAGAGGTACTCCTTCCAACAGAGAACCAAACTCTTCACCGCCACACTGGAATCCTAAGATCATAAACCTCCCAAAACTACATTTCAAAGCACATTTCCTCCTAATTCAGAATTCCACAAACTTTATTTCTCTTTTCGTCTAAAATTCATTTCTTTCTCCCATAATAAATAACTATACAAATGAAAATTAATTGTGTAACCGAGTCATGGAATTCTTCCTCCAGCAATATAAGCCATTTACACTTACATTCACAGATAATGTATGTGTAAACCAAAATGGAAATACATATTAGCATTAAATTTTTAAATAAATAAAAATAATAAATATTATCCACGAGACAAACCGAAAAAAAAAAAAAAAACACTTTAATTGAAGCGGAAAATGATAAAGAAACTGAAATTTAACGGAAAAATCTAGAGCTATTAGAAAAAATAACAATTTGGACTAAGAAACGGGAAAGAGAAGCTCACCTGCTGAGATGCGAAGATCAAATGAGAACAGATTGCGAGGCCTAGCTGCACAAAAGCTCAAGCTCCGACAGTGGGTGAAAGAAAAGGTGCTGCCTGTAAGAAAATGGGGAAATGGAATACTTGTATGTTATAAAATATTTATCTTAGTTAAATTAGAAAGAGTGGTGTTATATTTTTCTCTCGATATAAATGTACGCTTGATTATTAAGCTAACATTTATAACAAAATCGAACAATTGATAAATAACTAGTAAATGTAAAATAGTTTTATAATTATGTTAACCTAACATGTGACAATAGGAATAAGTTTAGAAATAAATACAAATTTTCAAAAATTAATCACATATACCTATATAACAATGTTAATGAGAGGTTTTTGTTAATACTTTTGTTTTGTTGAGAAAGAAAATATATGGGTGGAAGACAAGAGAGATTGTAATAACTCATTGTTTTACCGTGAAGGAAGAGAGAGAAAGAGAAACTCGCCAGTGGAATTATGCAAGGACCCCAACGCTAAAAGTTGGTTCACTAAAAACTCAACAAAATTTTATTATTGAGATTGTTCTTATTTTACTCTTTACGTAGATAATGGTAACCCATTTTTTCCTTGTGTTCACCTATAGTGCAAACCACATAATGAGAATAATCTCTTAAATTATACTTAGCATTTTCCATATTATTTATACTTTTCACAATATATACTCCCTCGTGCATACATTACCTAGACTAAAAGGGAAAGAAAAGAAAAAAATCACCCTATAAAACTAATGATCAACTCATACTCCCTATACGTTTAATATTTAGAAAAATGGTTAAATAGGTTTCTGAATTTTATATGAAAAAATAATTATATTTAATTGTTTTATTGGAATTTTAAATAGGTTTCTGAATTTTATATAAAAAAGTAATTATACTTGATTGTTTTATTGGGATCGTGTGACAATTCAAAATTTAATTTTATAAATTCGGTTTTAAGAAATTTTAAAATAGTCATTTTTCACTCTACCAAAATTTTTATGATGAAAACGGTGTATGAATTAATTATTTTGAGTTATGTTTTAAATGAATTCAACATCGGGACATATTTTATTTCTAAAAATTTCGGGTACATTGCGTACCAAGTTTTTGACCCAAAAGTCAATTGGAGTGAAACTGGGAGAAATATGAGAAGCCTAAACTAAGTGGTTATCACAAGAAAGTATTTTTGGAAAAATGTATTTTGACCCCCAAACTATTTAAAATTATCTTTCTAGACTTTGGTCCATGTTGCTTGGTGAACCACAAGATTCCATCCCTTGTCTGATATTTTTAGAAAATCAACCAGATTACCATTTTGCCCTCCACCAATCATTGTTGATCTTCCTAGGGTTTTGAGCCACTATAAAATGAATAGTTAGCAGCCATTTTCCTCTTGATTCCATCATTGTCTTCCCCACCAAGAGCTCTACAAGAACACAAAGAAGAAAACAATAAGTTCTTAGGCTTAATCTCATCCACCCATTTTCCATCTAGCTTTCATTCCTTAGCTTTCCATCTCTGAGATTCTTGTGCTTAAGGTTGTTGTGTGGTTTGCTTGAGGTATTTAGGTGGTGAATGGGGTAGTGGCTGACTTGGGAAGAAGAAGGAATCCCAACAAAAAGAAGATGCAACAAAGATATAACTCATGGACTCCCAACTAGCTTTATTTTGACTCTGTGAAGTCTAGATTGAAGTGAAAATGCTTAGAAATGCTAGATTATTATTGTTATTAAGCTATTAGTGATCTATTGTTGATATATGATTGTGTTGTTGATGATTTGAGAGTGTTGGATTGCTCAAAGTTTGTTGCAGGTGAAGAAGAAATCCCTCTGGTGCACAGACACCAGACAGGTTCACGGAGCTAGCCAACGGCCCTAGTCAAGGACCGCTGGCTAGTCCCATGGAGAGCCAGCCCTTGGGCACGGTTCTCAGCTAGAACTGTTGCCCAAGGCCGCCGCTTGGCGGAGCCAAGTAGCGGGGCTCCTCAAACCCCGCCACAAGCTTCGCCAGGCCAAGTCTATGTAATGCCCGGGCCCTCTATGGCTCAGCTACGTGTCGTTTGGAACAGGACTCGTCGGTCCTTAAGGCTCGGACACTCGGGTTCATTACGACGCATTAATAGAAGTTGATTTCGTTGATTTTGGAGTTGAAATGCTTAATTTACAGTAGATTTTGTGTTGAGAATTGCTTTGGAAGTATTCTGTAATTGTTTTATAGTGAAGAAGAATTTTGAAGTGTTTGAGCTTAGATATTTGAATGAGAAGCATGATCGTTATTTTATTATTGGATTGAAAAGCATGATCATTATTTGATAAGTTTTGCTCGAATAGCATGCCTAAGTATCTATATTGATTTATTGAGAAGCCTTGTCAAGAATGTGAGAATTTGATATGTTTAGAGTATGATTTCTAATTTATAGTGAATGAGTTTATGAAGTATAAGTTGAGTTTAAGAGCATGAACAATAATTTCTAAGTGTTTGCTAAGAAGATTTATCGAGAATTGAGTTATGCGCATGAGTTAATACATTGTTTGCTTAATTTATAGTCAAAGAGGATTTGAGATATTCTTTATCAGTAAAGAACATGTTTAGCATATCATGAACTAAAGTGCCAAAGTGGCTTTAAGTAAGCCTAAGACCCATTTCAAAAATCTATATCTATTTTGAAAAATCATTATCTAGTTGTACTGAGAAGTTGCATGATATTTGATTTCCAATTTGTGAGAAAAGAGAAGTAGTTGAGAAACTATCTGCATGAGTTATATCTATATGTATCTAGTGTGAGTGATCCGTGGTTTTGGAGACTCGTTAGGACTATGTCCTTTCGGAAGAAAATAGAAAGAAAGAAAGTAAAGAAAGAAACGGACATTGCGATCCGATATGAAGTAACGAGGTCGATATTCCCGAGTTACTAGGTTGGATACTACCCGCCGGACTTGGAATCCCTATCAGGGGGTGTGCACATTGACAAGTACGATACCTGATTCCACAAAGTTTGAGAAAAGAACCAAGAGAATGGTTCTGTGGGTGAGACGACTATTAGGTCGGCTAGATGCCGAGCCTAGATAGGTCCGTTCACATTATGGTGAAGTTCCTACCTCGCCCACGAGTATAAGAAAGAAAGAAAGAAAGCGAGTCTATGTGACTCAAGAGAAAAAAGAGAAAAGCGCGTCTGTGTGACTCAAGTGAAAAAAGAGAAAAGCGAGTTATTGTGACTCTAAGAAAACTCCACAGAACAAGTGTTCCTTGTTACAAAAGAAAGAGTGTATATGTATATCTATCTATACTTATACTAAAGCATCATGTTCATCTTATTGCATGATTATATGATTTGCACGTGTTGCATGAAAGTATGAGAAAAAACATGACTTTATATTGTCATTTATTGATTATCTTGATAGCATGAAATTGCTTGTTAAAAATTTAAGTATATCTTTACCCATCAGTTGAGCATGAGTAATGTATTTCCCCATGATAATAAGTTTTATATACGAAAACATGAGTTTGTTGATGAATTAACTGTATGAGGAAGTATGCCTATTTAATGATTAGGTTGCAAGCATCTAGAACTTATCGTTGAGTATGTTTAAGTGTTGTTTAAAGTGATTAAGATTACTTGATCTAAGTGTACGTGGCAAATGTTTTCCAAAAGTATATGTTATAGTATTTTACAGGGTTGTGTGGCGTTATACTTAGCTTCGTACTAATTGGTTGTTTTTCTACTTGCTTGTTTGTTAACCCCTTTCAGGTGGACCCAGTTCGAGCGCGATCGAGTTAGACTAGCTTAGCTTAGAGAGCGAGTTGTAGTCTAAACTCTTTTTAGTTATGTTTGTTATGACTTGGTTGCTAGATCTGATTAGATGTTTTGATGGTGTTGGACACCGGGGTTTTAATCCCCAAGTTTGTTTCAAGTTGTTTAAGCTTGACTTTTGTTTAGATCTTTTCCTTGCCTGTGCAATCACCGTGTGTGGTGATTGTGGCGGTGACATCTCTTGTAGTTTGATTGTTAAGTGCTATCTTAATACTGTTTAGTTTCCCTTTTTAGTTAAGTCTTGTAATTAAGGTTTAAGAAAAGTGGGGTGTTACATATCGAGTCCACCATAAACCGGGTATAGAAATATAGAACGGGGATAACTTTACTACTGACAGGAATCGAATCCAAGTGGCTGGGTTGAGAGTATAGACCAGAGACCACTAGACCAAGGCGCATGTAGTGCTCAAAATCCTCAGATGATGATATCTTAAAGGGGGGGGGGGGGGGGGGGGGGAGGGTGCCTTATATAGTGTAGAGGGTCTTCCAGATTGTTGACAAGTGTACGACATCGGCTAGTCTTCCATATCCATTCTCCATGTGTCCATGCATGCCTCGTATCTTCACCCACGTCTCCACCTTCTCTACCACCCCTTACTACCAACCCCAATCGGTGGGGGCGCCGATGTGCGCCGGGGGGTGCATGGTCCCCGCTAGTCACCATGCCATAGGGAATCAGATGGGCTCACATTGCTAGCCATGCGCTAGCCAGATGGGCCACCATGCATGTCTTCCTAGCCCAACATAACTTTGGCCACCCTCCTTCCTTCCTTCACCACCCTCACTTGAGCCAATATTTTCACAATAAAATGCAATTGTTATATCATGCACCAGGGTGCACTTTATGTGTATTATGTTATGAATTTATGTGTATTATGTTAAGAGTTTATGTGTATTTTATTAATTGTCTAATTGTCTTTATACTCATTATTCCTTACAATTTCAAACTCAATCAAACAATGGAATCGATATTCTCAGTAATTTATTTTTCACCAATCAAACAATGTAATTAATCTTCCTGGTAATTTTTTTTTCACAGAATTCCAATTCCATTTTCCCTCAAATATTTACTGTGAACCAAACGGGGCCTAAGGCGGTTTGCCCCACCAATTTCTCAAAAAAATGCTCCTTTTGCTCTTAATTTTAGTTTTTTTTTTATTTATTATTATGTATTTAGATGGTTTCAACAATATTTTAAACAATTTTATATCCACTTAAATAAATAGTTTGTAAGAAAAAATGATGAGAACCTTAGGGTCCGTTTATCAACAAAAAACTGTTCTCTGTTTTCTGTTTTCTAATTTTTCAGTTTTCATTCTCTATTTTCCATTCTATGTT